CTTCCAAGCCAGGTCATGGCTGTCGAACAAGACGCACCATTTTAGTCGTCCACCGACACTATGCAGTCATATACCTCTAGTACCCCTGCTAAAAAAGCGGACGAGAGTTTACGCAGGTATGCACAACGAATTTATTTAACTCCGTATGTACTAAACTTCTGCAGCTGTCTAAATAACCTTGAATCACGGATGAAAGAAATTAAGCTACGTTTCGAGTCGTTGCAAGCGGATATCGAAAGCCGATTTTAGGCTGAAGCAAAGGCAACTCTGCTCCATTCGACGTCTCGGATAGATCGGAAGCTTGATGAAGTTATGGGGGAAATGCAGACTTCGAGGGCTGATCTTAAGGGCGTTCAGACAGGCCTCAAGGACTTGCTATGTGCTCTTCTTGTTGATGGGAATGGTTCAAATAACCCGTGATAAGTTCATATACCTTCAAGGAGATATCGAGTTAACAGTAGGCTAAACAATGCTAAGTTATGCGTATGGAACGGCTTCGATGACATGGTTAATATTAAATGTACTCTGACGATCTATATGATATGATATGATTATGTTCTCTTTAGCAAGTATGGTGGTTCCGGCTACACACGGATATCGAATCAATGAGTTAGTCTAGGCTTTAAATACGGTGATACTAATATTGGTCGCGGTTCTTCAACCGCGCTTAAATACACGCCCTCTGTATTTAGGTTGAGGCCAGTCATATAAGTGCGGGAGGGGGCTATTAGCTATAAGGACCTTTCCGAGTTAACTTCTGCTAAACACGCTCACATCGGCAAGAGTCATATCCACAGTTACCTGCAAGGTGTTGGACTCATCTAACAAGGGGGTGGAGTATGTCCAGGCAATTATCACTTGCAAGTATAACAGCTTTATCATCGCGAGATATCACGCTATCTCTAATCACCTGGGCGACATTAGCGATTGGTTTCCTCTCAACCCGACCCAATAGGCGATACCGCAATCGATGCCTCTAGCGCCATGCACGTCTGTGTGCTTAACCTTTCTCCTCCCTTATGAAAAATAGAGCTCTATTCAAGTCGATGTGGATATTACTAACGGCGAGTCGCCCCATATCGTGCTATACCTCCGGGGTGATAGCTATCATTTAGAATATACCAGCTCCACCGCAGACTTTGACGATCACATGACTAGCGATGGTGAGATTTGTTCCACACTAGAAGGCCGCGACGCGACTATCAGCACTTTCGACCTTCGGCATAGTCCTTGCAAACGCTCACGAACGATGGCGGAGATAGATTGAGGAAAAGAAATAAGCTAAGACTGAATCACACGTAGGTTTCGCTTTATAGTATCTCGCGTTAGCATATCCTATCAATATATCGCCTTAGCGCTTATTCTCCCTCGTGACTGATGGTGCGCGTTCTTGAGTGGTATGTCGGTCCTGGTCGACCGTAGAAAGATAGTGTGCTAGTGATCTCCTTAATTGGCCGCGGGTGGGGGTATTTTTCTTAGCGTACCGTGCACTCGGTACGGACCGTAAGACCAAGCAACTAACACGTGGATTCGTCGGGGAAAATATAGTAGATCCTATTGGCCGACTATCACACCACTATCAGAGATATCACACAAACTAAGACAACGAAGACTACTAAACTAATAGAAATAGACGCCATACAATATCCTATTGGCTGGATCTATAGAAATTCTAACCCTCGATATACTGCAGGCAAAGGTCCTAGCACACTCCCGGAACGAGCGACGCTTTTCAAATACCATTCCTTTCTAAGTAAGTCTTCCGATATAGCGCTATAGAACGCTGACGATCGGAGCCCTTCTGGCAGCCCTTTCTAGAGTGTGATGAGTGCTGCTAGGTAACGATATAACTCTGCTGATTCCTGAGCGATATGCCGGACTCGCCGAGGTGCCTCAGCGTTAGCTACGTCTAGGATCACGAGATTTCCGTGCTTAAAAACCCATTGCAGGCCGCATAAAGCCTCTCGTCTTGTTTTCAGTTGCGATAATAGCCATGCAAAGCTAACTTTCTCGATATATATAAAGAAATTCTTCCCGTAATTAACGAATAAGGAGCTATTATACGCGTTCCCAATAACGCCGTGTAGGTTGCCAGACCCACTCGTTGCTAAAGTGTTATAGTAGGTTATGTGGCTCGCGCACCATCCCCCAACAAAACACTACATTCCTTTGCTATACGTGTTATTTAAGAATCGCAGAAGGCTTAGTGTGCCGCTATAATAACAACCCAAAAACAGCCGAATAGCCTACAGTCGCTTCCCGACCCTCACGTGCCCGTAAAGTGCACAGGGATCGTGACGAGACCCTAACCGCGCTACACGACGGCCACTTATCGGCACCACGCGCACTTCTCTATTCGCATTCATGCTTATACGGACACTATCGCCGGGTGTGATCGCTCGACACTTGGCGAATACTATCGTAATCTAATATAGTTTACGTCCGAGAACGGCAATAGCGTCTTCCGAATGCAAATACTGCACCCAACTCCAGATAGCTTGCAGAGGTGCGGCATCCATCTCCACACTACTCCCAGTCTCGAGCGCTAAAGCAATTAAATCGCCCTGTGTCTCCCAGATAACGCCACAATAAGTGAGAGCCTTGACTATATCGTGGAGACACTCTCTATATCCTAGCACGTAGAAATCCTACTGCGACTAACGGCATATTATTGGGAAGAAGTACTAAAAGGCTCGAGGACTAACGAGAACAGAACCAGTATCAAACAAGACGGAGACAAGAGTAAGAGGGTTCGCAAAGGACGAGCTAAAATACCTCACAGGGCATATTCTAGAGTCGTAGCATGCTTAGACATCGGCAACGTCTAAAAAGGTTCTAGCGAATGATATGACTTCGGAGAGGTTAAGTCGATCGACTACGCTCTGCAAAACGTTGATTGATAACATGGTGTGATTTGGTGGATTATTTTAGGCCTAATATGACATGAAGCGTAGTATTTGGATATTTATATAGCACTAACGCTTGTAAATAGAGATATGATGTACCTTAAAGACGGCTGCTATGTATGCTCGTAAACAACTTAGCGCGCTAGATTCGAGCCTATAATAAGTATTAGAGCTCGTCTATTGAATTCCGTGGCACCCACCCTAGATTTCTCCCAGGCGCAATCACACGCGCAATCACACCCACAATCATACCCACTCTATACGCACCCTAGAAAGATACCCCTCGACTCACCTCAAACAGGACACCCCCTGGATGAAGACTAGCGTCTAGTTATAGGCGCTAAGGAGATACCTAACGGCACCTTCGCCAACGAGGTCACCTGCTTTTATTAGCATAGGTGTGAAGCCAAAGTTTGTTATCCAATGTCAGCAGACATTTACGCATAGCAGCACTTCTTCTGTGGTATCTAAGGTATCTTTGCATTTTGCTGTGGATATCTAGCCCTGGAGAATGACTGCTAGGGGGAAAACGATGTGGAGGAGCCAATAGAGAACAATACTATGTCTACGTGTCGGATTTTGAACGTAGACGAATAGTCTTAGATAGAGGAATGGACTACTATAGTCCTCCAGGCGGTGCCTTTATCCTATCTTTAAGGGGACGAAGATCAACTATAGGAGGAGGGAATTAATATCTAGATCCCTTGGCGCTGGTTGGAACTAAATATTTCACAATAACTTATACTTTGCACGATACCGGATTAGATTCTTTACGCGTCGTTATATGCAGAACAAAACTTAAGTTGGATTGCCTCCCGCTCCCGCTTATAGTGCGCTCTTTCTCGTGACCGTCGCTCCTCTCCATAGATCGATCTATCACGTGCTAGCATGAAGGATATAAAGCAGCTCTCCTCCCCTAGACTTATTACCGAAATCTCCAACTACTTCGTTCCCTCACTCAAAGATCGACCACCGGCTGTTATCCAAGCCAGCAGGAACTATGCCTCGTCTGTACAAAGTTGATTGCTTGTCTCAGCTTCGAGACGACTGCTAGGTTGGTGTCCTCGCGTCTTAGGTGGACTACGATTAACGACAAAAGGCACGATATAATGAAATCGTGATAGAGCAGGCTCAGCGTTTCTGGCAGCTGGATAATATTCGAGTGCAAGTGCCAGCTTCGGTTCAAGACGCCCGACGATTTGTGCAAGAGGCCAAGTGCGTCTTCATCTGGAGTCCCAGCCGAGTGAGCTACTCATAGCTGCCCTTGCAGTTCCACTTAGCTCTGAGGACAATTTCGAAGCTTGACAAATCGGACCAAGAGGAGTATTTTGAAGAGGTGGGACTGCTTATATAGCGCTATTTTTTCCCAGGCCCTTGGCAACATAATATGAAGTACTCCATTCCAGAGAACCTTGAGGATCTTACTTTCACGTATAAATGGTCGCCTACCGAGGGATCATTCTCTGATCTCGATATTAAAGCACAATCATTCTAGGTACTCTATTTTAAGGAGAAGGGCATTTTCTAGAAGTCTTAAACCTTAGTAGATAGACAGAGGGACAGGAGGGAGAGAAGGACAAAACATTATTAAAGTCTTAAGCTAGGAAAACCCTAAATCTGCTAAATACCTTTCCAATCACCCGCTCGAGGACGATCGGAATACTATTTCCATTCCTGGTGGTGCTATTTCCCGTAGTTAGCTCAAAAACTATTCGTACTCCTTCGTGACCTGTCTCGTGGGGGTTTGTCTAGGTGAGGTAGTAGTTAAAAGAGAAGACGGGCCGGTCGCTGGAGATTCGCTCTTTTGTAGAAATATAGGGGTTGAACTTGACGGGCTACGCGAACTCGCTTCTGCTAATAGCTGTCTTGCTCGGAGGATTGAGTAATTTTCTTGGGCATCCTGGTTCGATTGCGCTGTCCCCTTTCTTAACATCTTAGCCGAAAGAAAGGGTCCTTGGCCATTAAGCTCCATGTGCCTGATCATTAATGCCTCTGCCGTTGAGCCCTAGATAGCCTTAAAAGTCGTCTTCGTGAATATCAGGGGCTTTCGACGCTCCTCCCCTTCCTTAAAAGCCAATACAATCGTCCTGGTCGATGACTAAGCCACTAGGTCAATCTTTAGATGTTCTCCTAGGACGGTTCCCTGATTCCAGGACGCTGAGAATTCGTTCGGAATTACGGTATTGTGATATTTGTAGAAAGTACTCTTCTCGATTGGGTGATCCGCAGCGGAGAGTAAGTACCCACGCCTTTGTTTATCTTTCTCTAGCAACTCACTAACCAATATTTAGCCTGAGGCTATAATACACTCGATAACGCCCCGGCCAGGTGTATTGCCAATTCTCCTAGCAGCCGGAATCATAATCTCGGCCCACTAGGGAATCGGCTCGCCTCGGCTATACCTATCGGAAGTTATTCGGATATCAATATTCACCGGGGTTCCCCTATTATCCTGCTCGATAGAAGGTTGGGGTTTGCCCTGTCTATCCGAGCCTCGCTGTGGGATCTGATTGGGAACACCTGTAGAATCTTCTTCCCTTGGCTCGGGTTTCACACTGATTCCAGCGCCAGTGCCACTGCCAGTGCCAGCTGGCGCAGGTGTTGGCGCAGGTGTTGGCGCAGGTGGTTCTGGCACAGGTGTTGGCGCAGGTGCTGGCGCAGGTGCTGGCGCAGGTGCTGACGCAGGTGGTTCTTCTGGCGCAGGTGGTTCTGGCACAGGTGTTGGCGCAGGTGCTGGCGCAGGTGCTGGCGCAGGTGCTGGCGCAGGTGCTGGCGCAGGTGCTGACGCAGGTGCTGACGCAGGTGGTTCTTCTGGCGCAGGTGGTTCTGGCACAGGTGTTGGCACAGGTGCTGGCGCAGGTGCTGGCGCAGGTGGTTCTTCTGGCACAGGTGCTGGCGCAGGTGCAGGCGCAGGTGGTTCTTCTGGCACAGGTGCTGGCGCAGGTGCAGGCATAGGTTTCTGGTTACCGTAAACGTAATGTTCCGGCTCGATCTATTTCTGATTCTGCTGAATATCTCGAATCCATACTTCCTATATAATCACAAGTCCCCGTTCTACTGCTATAAGCCAGGTCTAGGGAGGTCCGTTACTCCGAGCTCTCTTTCTAGTTTCAGTTATTTCAACTTGCTTAACCTATTATATTATTTCGTTGCTTGCCAGCAATAGAGTAGCTATGGAGATACTCTTCGCGAATTCGACGCGATCTTTATATAGCTCGAGTAGCTCTTTGATACTTCCGTGGGTCAGGCCCTCGAAAGTGCCAAGGATTGTGCATGCAATCGGAGCTATCTCGGTGATATAGAATACTACGGGCTATTGAATTACTCAGAGTTAAATATCTCGGACAAGGTGAGCTACATAGAACTATATATACGATAGGCATGCTTTAAATACAGCTGGCGGGCCCCTTATTTAAACATATCAGCATCTAAAGTAATGTTTAACGTCTTCTAGTTCAAACCCTTTAAATAGTTCCTAATCTAGAACAGGTCCTTAACTAAAGTTATCTAGGGAAGGGAGACTTTTGCATACCCGAAGCAGAAAACGCTAAGCTACTATGGTTATTAAGTTACTATGATGTTATAAGACTTAGCGCAGGCGATTCTATAGATAGATAGAAAGCTAGGTAAAGACTAACTATGAAAGGCCGCCCCTTATGAGGTTCGCGTAATGATGCTTAATACTAGGCAGCATTATCGTGATCGCGCTAATACAATCTCCTTAATCTCGTAGAGCTCTTCGCACTAGGCAACACTATCCGCGGTCGGAACTCTGTCTCACGAAACACAATAAGCTTCCTATCCTAACTATTAACGATAGATTCACGTATATTAGCTGTGAAGTCGGGCGGCCCACATGCTTTTTTCGCGTTAGTGAATGAATAGAGACGTAGTCTCGCTATGAAGACAGGCACGTACTTGCAACAACCATGTGACCCTGAGACTTCCTCCGTTCTTCTAAGATCTTCGACGTAATAAGATAATCGAAGGAATGCTTTAATTCTAAAGGCTCGACACACCACCAGAAGTTCGAGGGATTGAAAGGCGGCGGACCCTGTCGCTTGCCAGGGTATCCGCACCAAAACACAAGAAGTTGCTATAAATCATCATTAGCAGACTATTTCTCGAGCTTCGTTAAATATAGCGCACATTCTCTGGATCCAATCGCTGAAGAGCCCTTAACTTATCACGGACGATATCCATTTGTATATTATCTTCTATAGACTAGAATATATCGATTTTCTTCGTCGCGTCCCGGAATAATTGCTGCTTTAATAATATTCCTTTCCTTTGCTGCAACTCCAATCTCTCTTGTTCACTTTGCTCAGATCTTGTTGCCCTCTGAAAATTAATAAGCTGTGAGGTTATAGACTGTAGCTTATTTTTCACGTTATCGTCGTGTTTCCTTCTTTCCGCGAGCTCAAGAGCCAGCGGTAAGATTGCGGCCAAACCCACGCCCCTGGCTGTCAGAATCATATTTTCGTAGGCACCTAGCTTTAAGTCTTTGCCAAATGGGCCCTCTAGAAATATTCGTTGCCCCCTTTGTAGCCTTGCAAGCACTCCGCTATAGCTACCTCGGCGGGAGAGGAGGAACGACACACTCGACATCCGCCGAGATGGATGAACTTTATCTAGTATATGCTAGAATACGATGGCCGAGTAGCTATATAGTAACGCATAAGGGAGAAATAAGCCAGGAAAGAAAATCTAGAAATACTTGCTAGGGATGATTTTGATAGGCTTTCTGAGCACCACCTCTATACGCATTAGGTCTATGTTGCCGGAGATCTCGACGATCTCTGCAGAGAGCCGCCTACACAGAAGGCGGTAGAGACGATACAAAGCGAATATATACTAGGCCACGATATAGATACCCGCTATAACCCAGGCACGCACCTAGGATTGCATCAAGGAGTGCCAAAAGAGTGCGGTAAGGCCTGAAAGGGTTAAGAACCGATAACTAGGCAGGAACCACCGTCCAAGCCAGAACCGCGCGACGCCTAATAAGAGAAGAAGGCTTACGGTAGCAGTAGAAGCTATCTAGTTGAGTATTAGCAATAACTCTAGGCATGAGCACTAATATGAATCATACCACCTAAGCTGAAGTTACAAGGAGCCCGGTCCTCGGCTTCAGACTTATAACAACAATAGCGTGCACTAAGCTATCGATAACTACCACCCTGCTAATCTAGTGGTGCATAAGATGGTAAGTGCTTCGGTGGACGTTAAAGGCTTCGATCACCGGTCTAATACGCCCACCTAGGCACAATAGCACTATATTGATCGCGGCTGCATACGTAGCTCTCCTTTCCACTATGCGCCAGTCTAGCTAAGTAAAGGGTGAGAAGATCATTAGCATGTTAATAACGACGAAGACGAGGATACAGAAGGCATCGAGTCGAGTCATACTATCGTAGAACTTACCGCGGTTGATAAGGAGCGGATAATAGAAATGTCTTGCGACTTTGCTGCGAAAGTTGGGTATAAGAAGGTTCAATATCCATAACGTAAATGCAGTTCCAAAGATGCCGCCAAAGGCGATAAGGTACCACCAAGTACTATCCATTGCGGCCGGCCATATACTTGCTTTACACCGTGTCTCTTGATTCATAGGGGCGAAAGGCTTTGATAAGGCTTCGGCTAGCATAGCGAGGTATCTAAACAAAGCACATCGTCTATTCAAGGATAGCGTTTAAAATCCATCAAACCTGTGGCCCCCTGTGCCGCCGTGTGGGGCCAGCTACCGTGCTAATGGAAGCGCGCGCTTGTCGATCGCGCGTAGTCTATCCTATGCAATATCCGATGCGAACCACGGCGGTTACGGGAGCTTTAAAAGCTCAGAGAAGTCTTTGGTATATCCTCTTTCCTCAATAACTCAAAGCTCCTTTATTACTTATTTCCTTGAGTACTATTTTTCATTTGTGGTAGCGGAATCTCTCATTCGTTTATTCTCCTCTATCGAACGCTATGGCTCCTCGTCTTCGTAGCGAGAAAAACAAAAGGATCTCTCAAGGGATTAGGAACCATGTAAGGGGCGTTTGCAAGAAGGCGCAGACTTTCAATCGTCTTTTTAGCGGTAACGCTTTAGTCATCGTCCGTGCTAGTAGAGGCGCGTTCACATACTATCAATCACGCCCCGAGCTCTTCGACATGATCAAGGAATAAAGCTTGCGGGACCTTCAATAAGTCGATCTTAATTTCGACGGACATTTATCACCTTTGAATGCCGATTTATCTTCGGATCTTTGTCCCAGCCCTTTAGGATCCGGGGGCTTAGTTTCTTCACGGGACGGCGATAGGACCCCCGCTCCTGACTCAACCAAGCCCGTCGGCCAGATTCGCCGGCCGCCTCCGCCACGAGCCCAAACCAGAGTATCGAAGCCACGTCTATCATTTGCACAGAGGAAGTCCATTATGGATATCTTAGCGAAGTACTAGTTAAAATATATCAATATACACCTAAATGCTCTCCACTAGGCTCTGGAGGTCTTCAACGGCCGTCCACTTCCTTCGTGCCCGTCCAGCAGCATTGGCTTGTCTATACAATCTCCAACCAAATGCCGAGTACAAGCCTTAATCACAAAATAGTTCCGCAACCGTATAAGGGCACCTGCTAATATTATAATTCCGCCCGTCTACATCTTCAAGACGAATATCCAGGATCGAATCGCAAGACTTAACTTCCAAAGAAAGATTCATAGAAAACGATCCACCTCTTAGAACTGCCTGGAGGCTTTATTCCGTAACAAGGAATTAATAATGTTGCTAAAAATCGTCTGCAATAAACAAGCATAGTCTCTCTCGATATGCCTTTGATATCAGACCTTGAAGCGTTGGACTAGGCGGGAGCCGATAGTATAACGTCACTTGAAGTACCTGGGTTTGCTTATAAAGCTCGGGAACGGTGCGAAGCTCGATGAAGAAAAGGGAGGCTACTATGAGCCCCCATACCGGTTGCGGAGCGACTTAAGTCGAGCTTTTCGTGCTCCCTGCGGTGATAGAGATATCTGCCTTTTGCCTACGCCTTGATTAGCACCTATAGTTCGCCCACTGCTAGAGACTAACTTCTTGATGCTAGGCATACGAAATGTCCTCCCCTCCGCATCGTATTCACACCCTAGACGTTGGAATGGACGACTAAACCGCCAACAGAGCCCCTTGCCAAACTTAATCTTAGTCTTACCCCATTTAATATCACGAATAGCACTCAGGTGATATCGACAATCGTCGAAAGCCTAGGTCTCGGCAAATATTCCGATTGCAAAGAAAACGCCTACTATTCGTTAGCTCGAGGTGCAGTTATAGAATCGAGCCTACCTTAGCCTATCCTATCTGCGGCATCAAAAAGTTCATAGAGCGATACGAAACATAAGGGTACGCAGCGGCGGATGAGCCTTAGCTCCTTAAGTATCTCGTACATGCCTCTACCTTCCACGATATAGATATATCTCACACCCGCCGTGGGAGGGAGCGCCGGCACATATGTTAATATTGCCCGGTTGCATAGTAGACAAGATGAAAGTATCGTGGGCCACGATAGGTCCACTCCGGCTTCCCGGAGCATACAAGAGTCACAAAAGCAATGTCTATACTTGAGATTATAGATAGCGTTTTCTAAAATACAGAATGAGCAGTTTAAGCCGTCGCGCGAATCAACGAGTTATATAGTCTTAACCAGGTCCCTGTGAGTTTGTATTGGCGACGTGGTTATGTTTGCGATCTTAACGAAGGCAGCGCCGATCCGTTAGCGTATACCATAGACGCATAGAGCGGACTTAACGCTCTGCAATATTTCCTCGTAGAGCGCTAAAAATATTTCTCTTGGTAGGAAAGCTACTCCTTATTAGCATCCACGATCTATTATAGGGCAAGTACAAGGTACATACAATGCATCTCTGCAGGGTAGGCATCCAAGACCAAAGCTAAGGCGATCGTTCGAATAGAGTTATCTCCGAGACTAGAGCTTTAAAGA